TATACAGAGACCAAACATTTACCAGATCAGACTGATCGAAATATACCTTACCAAACCAAGCAGACAATTTTTTTCCAATTAAAAAGATCTAACTGAGTAATTGCATCCCGTGCGAAGCACGGGTGAAAAATCTAGTTAGGAGTAAATAGATTTCGGAATTTCTAAATAGGGCTGTTGTGTTTTTTCTTCTCGAATTAGGATCGGAGTAACATAACAATATGATTTTGGTTCAAGTGAGAAATACATCTAATGTGAGAAATGAGAATGAATATCAGTCATTAGATTTACGAAGTTGCACTAAAATGGTTTTATGCTGCAATAATATTTAAATTTTGCAATGTTGCACTAAAACAGTTTTATGTTGAGCACTAATATTTGACGGCGTTGCACCGAAATAACTTCATGTTGCACTAGAGAAGTGTAATATGGATTTTTCAAAAGTATTTACAGAAATGCCACCGTGCTAGATTGCATATTTCAGTGTATCATGATGTGTCTTAACTTTTACTGCAACTTAATCGAATCCAATGGTTGAGATTCATTCTCACTTCTCACCTAAAGGGTTATTCTCACTTGAACTTTACTCAAAAAATATTGACTGTCAAATAGTTGTAGTACTAGGCACTAAGCATGACAATATTTACTATTGTTTCCTAAGCATGATTGTCAATTTTCCTAACCCCTTTTAAGCTCTTTTCAAGTATCAGGTACACATCATTCGTTCAAAATACTCCATTAACATTAGTCATATTCTCTATTGTTTCCAAGTACCTAGTAGCATTGTTGTACTTTGGCACAAATTTTAGTAAGTGAAAGAAATTAAATTAAATGTGGGGATAATAGTGATTGCTCATTGATTGTTCATAGGACATTGGTCATATCGGCATCACGTGTGAAAAGCGCTCGTGAATACAGGCACTTTGGACTGGTTAGCATTTTTCAACCACTAAAGCATTGTTGAATTCACCAAACAACCGCAGTTCTGCTACTTTCAGTTATTCATTGATACGAGTAATAAAGTACTCCTCGGTTTCCATCTCGTTTCATGTGTCTAATTTGTACGGACTACAATAAAGCAAAATTATTTTAAAATATGCACCAAGAACTTCTTAAAATTTGCAGTGAAATGTCTATTGCCTATAAACATAAAATAATTTTAATGAAAATAAAATAGGAAGTGGATCTTTGGCAAACAATAAAAATTAAGATACTAAAATGAGACAAAAGGACCTAAATAGGTATAGAAAATGGTAAAAATACTTTTGGTTGAGGTAGAATGGCAGATAGAGAATGATAAAACAATACTACCTCCGTCCTTAAATGTTTGTCCTAGTTTGACTTCACAGATATTAAGAAAATGTATTTGACTTACACTGTAGTGACACTGTTTGACACTGTAGCGACACTGTTTTACACTGTTTGGCACTGTTTGATAAAGATTTGTTTGCCAAATAAGGAAAGAAAAAAGTAGGACAAACATTTTGGGATATCCATTTGGCAAAGTAGGACAAACATTTAGGGACGGATGGAGTATTACCCCTGTCCCTCTAATATTGGAACAAAAGTTGTGTGGTTTTTAAGAAAATTAGAATTATGTGCTTGATAATGAGTTGATAAAGTAAAAATAAAGTAAGAACGAATTAGAGCCACACTAATTTTACTAAATATGGTATGACACAATAGTAGGGGATATCCAAAAATGAAAAAATGAGACAATTATAGGGGACGTAGGAAGTACTAGTTATACTCTACTTGTGTTACAAACTACTCCCTCGGTAACGATTCCATGAAGTTTAAGAAATTATATATAGTTTCTTAAACTTCCATCACCTGCGATGGTAAAGGTCAATATTGATGCTTTTGTGAATGCATCAGGCTGCGACTTTGGCTGGGTGGTGAGGGATGACTGTGGGAAGTTTCGGGGAGGAGGGGCATGTTCGTGGGCGGGGCAATGCAGCCCAGTTGAGGCTGATTGTTGGCTATCCTGGAAGCTTTAAGTTGGTTGAAGGATCAACAATGGTCGTTTTTGGAGGTGGAGTCAGATTCATTGCAGGCCATCATCGAGATTCTCAAGAGGTCTAGCATTTCTTATACGGGTCTTCTGGCTATGATATTAAAGCTTATGAAATGCATTTTGGGAGCATTTCTTTTCCACATAAAAGGCTTTCGGCGAACTGTGATGCTCATACTTTAGCTAGGGCCAGGGGCGGAGCCAGAAAAATGACTCAGCGAGGTCGAAATCAAATTTACATAGAATCAAAACGGTAGATTATTTTTAGACAATGCCCAAATTGAATGTAGCTTAGATAAATGATAGTTTAAATGAAACTAATAGAGTATATGTAGTTAATATACTTTGTAAAATTCCTCACATATATTATAAACTTGTTTTATACGGGTTGAGTTGAGTATCTCGGATGAGACCCATTTTCTTACCATAGTACTCTATGGTTCTCTTCGATCTTACTCGGTTTAGTATCAAGATTTCTTACTAGAAAAGTAGAAAAGAATCATTTATTGAGTAAGCACTTGTAGCAGTAAGATATGTTGTCTTTGCTCTGTCCCTAAGTCATGTCATGTAAGTAACGAATGAATTACACACTATTTTGTGAATATAATTAATATTACGCATCACAATTTTACTAATTTCAAACTTAAATAGTTCTGATTTTGCAGAAGTCGTAACTTTTTACTCGTAATGAGTTACGAGAGCCATAATATATCAAATCGAAGATATTTCAGAGCTCTACACTCTTAAATTTTCAGCGGGGTCGGCTGACCACCCTGACCCCCAGTAGCTCCGCCCCTGGCTAGGGCGTCATGTTCTTTGTCTGATCACCAAATTTGGCTTAGTAATCCCCTGATTGTATCACTCATGTTCCCCATCATGATTTGATTAATACGGAGTACAAGTTTATTGCCTCTTTGCCAAAAAAAATATACAAATCTGAAAAAGTGGGGTTGGTAATATATCAGTGCTTTACACTTTATAAGTGGTACCTTAATTGACTCCTAGGTTGATCGTTTTCCAAAAAAAAAAGGATGTAAGGTAAATACTCTGTATTTTGCAAGAGAAGAAGGAAACTACCCAGTCTGGTCGTCTTCCTAATTACTACGAAGTATATGGATTTTCTACTGTTTTCACTTCAAAATTAGTTCGTACTATAGTTTTCAAATCTAGCATATTTGAGTCACATTTGGTTTGGTCAAAATTGGTCTACTTTGTAATGCCATATATTATCTTTCTTAATATTTCAAAGGGGCTAATTACTAGCGACTTAGGATGTTTTTACTTGGACTGTAATTTGTCCCAGACCAGACCAGACCAGACCAGACTTGAATAGTTATAAAAATACATAGAAACCAGACCTTACCAGACCAGACCAGACCAGATCAGACCAGACCAGCAAATTACAGTCCAAGTAAAAACATCCTTAATGGACTTGTTGCCAAAAACTTATTTAATCATTTTATTGTACTGTAGTAGTCCTGATAAGGCGTCTATTAAGAGAGTGTTTGCAATCACTTAAAAAAAGCACTTCTCAGTTTTTGGCTTAAAAACACTTATTTACCAAACACTACCAATGTTTACTTTTTCTCGGCTTGCGTGTGAAAAGTGCTTTTTCCCTTTTTATTACACAAAAAGCACTTATTTTACCAAACACTATCAACTTTTACTTTTCAAAATCACTTTTTTCTCAAACACTATCAACTTTTCCTACTAATCACTTTTTCCTTACATCTCCAAAAGTGCCTTTTTTAAGCAGAAGCAGTTGCAAACACTCCCTAAGACGTTTACTCAACCAATATTTTAAACAGATTATGGAATAGATTTATGTTAATAAATAAAAGTGAGATGACTACAAAGGAAAGATTGGACAATCTTAGCGAGGTGGAGGGAGACTCTGTATAATCAGGGGCAGAGCCTATGCTCTTAACAAGATTAAGCCGGTACAAATAATATTTTTGAAAAAAAACTTACGCCAGAAATTTAGCATAAGTAGATATAAGTGCATAACTAAGGGAGTGTTTGCGATTGCTTTTAATTTAAAAAAGAGATTTTTAAAAGTGATTTCGGAAAAAGTACTTAATAGTAAAAGTTGGTAGTGCAGTGTTTGAAAAAAAGTGATTCTGAAAAAGTAAAAGTTGGTAGTGTTTGGTAAAAAAAGTGTGTTTTGTGTGATAGAAAAAGTGAAAAGCAGTTTAAAGCACTCTTCCACATGCTTCTAGCTTTTAATTTTTAAGTGATTAATTTAAGCAGAAGCTGTCATTTGAAAACACTTTTTTCAGTTTTTTTTAAGTCAAAAGCTGAAAAGCGGTTTTTTAAGTAACTGCAAACACTCCTTAAATAACCTAGTTAGCCGGTGATTGTTGAGCTCACAACAATGATAAGCCATAGAAGGCTAGTTTAGGCCAGCACGAGTAGCTCAACTATTAAAGCGTTGGGAAAGTTAGACAAATGACCAAAGATCGAAACCCACCGTGCTGAGGTCACACCTCGTATGTGCTGAACTGGTTCTCTGGTGCGCACAAGTATAATGTCTACCAACGTTAGAATTGACAGAGTCATCATGATTTAAAACTTTCCACATGCTCTGTCGAGTCGGGACGTTGATGCTCTATCTTGAGGTTGGGGTCAACTGGACAAATAGAAGGCTAGTTTAATTAGAAATTTTATACGTTATCATTGAAATAAGTACGTGGCTATATATATAATGATTTTCTTACTATGAATAGAAGTTCCCCACAAACGATCAAACATAACTAATACTCGTAATTAGCTTTAGATAATTAGCTTTTTTTTGTTGCAAGAATTAGTTTTTTTTTTAAATAATTAGCTTTTACAAGTTTGAAATTGCCAATTATTGTTTTAACCTAATAAATATCTCTTCTTCCTTTAAGGTAAGGACCTAACCTCCTCATCGAACGGGCAACGGGCAGCCCAAGCCCTATCCCCTCCCCATGATTGATCTACATCTACTAAACCCTACATATATACTCCGTAATCAATATTGCAACTCATCCTCTCTGTTTTACCGTCCAAACATTATCAAACCAATCCCACCTAAATTTCTCTCTATTCCACCCTTTTCTCTTCTTGTTTAAAATAATACAAATTCCGTATAAATATACACTCATATATCCAAATCTGTATATCTATATGGAGTATATATGGATAAATTATCATACGTAGATATATAATTAACAATTACAAGAAACTTTTCATTTCAGTATGTTTCCAGAACTGAAATCATAAGTCCACGCAGGTAAAAAGTTTTCCGTTTCCCTTCAAACATCCATCCTCCAATGGGTCCTTCATGTAGACGACGAAAACAAAAATGTTCAACGAAATCAAGAGCCCTTAAATCCTCACCGTCCATTTCTCCCGCAGAGACGGAGTCAACTGAGTCAACGGTCAACGCTACTGACCAAGAAGGACGGCCTGACGGCGGCGAGATTGAAGCGGCGGCGGATGATATTTGTTTGACGCCGAAAGCTGCGAGGTTTCGGATACCGGAGATCAAGACGTGCCCTCCGGCGCCGAAGAAGAGGCGGCGGACGACTGTGGGGAAGAGCTGCTCGGTGCGGCGAATACCCATCGCCTTCTTTGCGCCGGCGGACTTGGACCTCTTCTTTTACGTTGAACTTCGCGGCGGCGGCGGCGTTCCTGTTTGAATGCTAAGTTGTACTCATGTACTCTCTCATGTTAATTATTAATAGGTTTAATGAAATATCAACCCTACTTTAATTGTTCTTTTATGAATTTTAATTTAGGGACCTTTGATTTCGTAGTTGTGTGGTATATTATGTTTAAGCCCTTTTTAATATTCAATTAGTTAATTATTACTTAAATTAGGTAGTTATTTCTAGTAGTGCTAAGTTTTAGGATTCTTGAGGACTTCGTGTACTATTTTAGTACGTTTTCATCTAGACTGATTTGGTCTATTAAATTCAAGTCTAGTTCTTGGTTAAGTTTTGATAAAAAAAATATGGCATAGAGGAACTACTAAGTACTACGTATGTATTTTAGAACGGAGTATGTAATATTGTTTAAGTTTGTTCTTATCTTTTTTATTGTTTTTTTTGGCCTTTTTTTAATTTGATCTAGTTTAAGATTGAATGAGATTGGAACAAATGAAAAAGCGTCCTAGTTAATTTACTGTTTCTCCAAAATTATTTGTTATTTTTGGTCCATAGTTTTTGCCAAAATTATTATCTTTTAGGCATTTAGTTCGAATTTTGTACTCTTTCCTGTTGAAACTAATTAAATGGCGCTTCACTGATTTTTTGTTAGAGTAATTGTCGTTTTAGAAAATTTATGTTTATTTTGTGCAAGTATCTCAAAATTTCCCTTTTCGCCTACTAATAAGTCCTTGTGTGCTTCTTCTAAAAAAAAGTCCTTGTGTGCCTTGCAAAAAAAAAAAGAGATTAATGAAAACTTCTTCTTTAGAACGATAATTCATTTGGATGGATGGAGTATTAGTGTATAACTAGATACGGAGTACTATGTTAATTGTTTATTTCTTGAAAATAAAACGATTCATGTAAAAATGTAATGCATGTAATTTCCAAAAGGTCGCCCTACATAGTTTCGTACTTGTAGTTGTCATCCATCAACTTAGAAATTTATGATCTTTTTACGTGGATTTATTTAAGATCAAGAGCCCAAGACTAGTTCAGACCAAACCAATTCGGATCAAAACATACTATACTTCAACAATTGTAAAATACATTGAGATCATATAGATTTATCGGATTAAAAATATGATTTAGAATAAGCATATAAAACTGAAAAAGTTGTTTCTTGATATTTTTTCCCTTTTTTAAAGAGAAGATAAGGTTCCTACCTTATCTATGTGGTTTAAATTGATTTTACTTAACAGCTAACACTTATTTTCTCTTAGAAAATAGACTACATTCAAACATTCTATAGTTTTATGTACTCTTATACACAAGAATATAGGTTAATCGATATTGGATAATCTTGCTTTATGAGATCAAGATAATATTCAAAGCCAATTCTCCACTTTAGCTTATATGGATATGATGCAAGAAGGGTAATTCGAGTATAACAGATTAACAGTGTCACATTTGAAGCATTAATGAAACTTGGTGATAATATGTGGATCTTCACTTCTATGAGAGATTCCAGAAACAAAAAGACAGAGATTTTACTAGCTAGTTGAGCAAAGCAAGGAGAGCAGTAGGTAGTTGTGTTCCGAGGTAATCACAAAGCTGAGGAGATGAAAGTAGTGGATATTCTTTTTTTAGAGGGGGTGATGATGAAATAATGTGGTGATGATGATGAATAACTGTTTTAGGAACAAAAGGAAGGGCTGACTCTGCCACGAGCTTTAATTGTTGTTGCTTTTAATAATTTTGAAAGGGAAGATGATTGTGTCAGATTGTGTATATCTATGTGTCTGGCCTTGCCCAACACCAGTAAGGGAATCCAATGCAATGGCTCGTGCGGCCTGTGATAATTGTTTTTTATATTGCTATTGATTTTTTTCTTCACCAAGGGAATCTTTCAGCAGTAATTTAAGGGAGTGTTTGCAATTGCTTCAACTTTAAAAAAGTGATTTTTTAAAGTGATTTTGGGAAAAGTGATTAATAGTAAAAGTTGGTAGTGTTTGAGAAAAAAGTGATTCTGGAAAAGTAAAAGTTGGTAGTGTTTGGTAAAATAAGTACTTTTTGTGTAATAGAAAAAGTGAGAAGCAGTTTAAAGCACCCTTCTACCTGCTTCCAGCTTTTAGTTTTTATGTGATTAATTTAAGCAGAAGCTGTTATTTGAAAACACTCTTTTCAACTTTTTTTAAGACAAAAGCTGAAAAGCACTTTTTTTAAGCAAACCCAAACACTCCTTAAATCATTATCTGTAGTAATTTGTAAATATATAAATATTACTTGGGATATTAGGGTTCGGCCCAGCAACCCGGTCCAAAATATCCTTAAAGCTAGCCCGAAAGGAGCCACGGAGCCCAATGAATACCTGATAGTTCCCAAACGGGGTTTCCCTAGTCGAGTATGAACCGTTCGATAGGTCCCGAACGGGTAAAATTCCATACTTGATAACAAGCATCATTCTTGGCTACTAGTTCATCATTGGCCTAAAGTACCGATCAAGAAAGCCTCGCAAGTGGCAGAGGCGCATTTAATACTGGAGTATGGGCACTCAAGTGGAGGCATGGATGTTGCAAGTGGCAAGGGGGTCAACCATGCGGATTCAACCACGGTAATCATCCACCTACCCACCTCTAGTATAAATAACATCATTTATTTAATTGTAAAGGGTTAGCATTTTGATACTCACTAGCAGCAGGGAGGACCAGCATATGTTCAAAAGTGTTCATGTGAACACCCGAAATTTTTAACTAGTAGTGTAAAAATACATATATATGGATGTTAGTGTGAAAACTTATATATGTATTTGAACACCCAAAACTCATAAAATAAATTTGAACCTTCAAAATTTATGTACAAGATCCGCCACTGAGTCTAGTACGGAGTAGTATACTTCACTCTAGCTCTTGACGTCAGGGGCGGATCAGGAATCTGAGATGCCCTGGGCTGAGAAGCAATTATACTAGACTTTAACATTAGCGAAGTGGGCTGGATATGAAAAATAAAAAAATTTACACTAAAAATTTAAAAAAATATTAATTTACACTGGGCTTCAACTCACCATAACATGTACATAGATCCTCCCCTCGTCATAATCATTCTAATACACTTGGGCTATTAAGTTATCAGTGAGTTGATTTCCTTTCCTAATTATCATTCACTTGAGAAGCTTTTATTCATATTCCTTTGGATCTAGACGTATTAACCTCAACAATTACCTTTTACTTCCTTTCAAAATTTATCTTCAATGAAAATTATGTAATTGAGTATTATACACACGGGAAAGAAATGACATGAAAAACGAACTCTTTATTCTAAAATTCAATTGAAGTTTACTTTACTTTGGAATGGATGAAAAAAAACGAGTAGAGATAATTTTGAAGGCTGAGGCAGTACGTAGTATGGTAAATATTTATCTCGACCCTTAAATCCAGGCAGTACAAATGGATATAGGCGTTAATTAGCATCTTCTAAGTAAATACTTATTAGTATTAGTACTATATTATAGCCATGTTATGAAAATGTCCTTTTGTAAAATAACAATAGTTTTTTTACTCACTTTCACATTTTTGAATGATGACAACAATGATTTTATGGTTTTGGTGAATAACATGTGAGCTTATTAGTATTTCGAATAGAAAATGTGGAATTGAAAAATGTTTAGAAGATAAATGAGTGCGGTCCAAATGAAGACATTCCACTTAAAGATCTCTCATACGAGGCATTAGATTCAAGTCCCTAAATATATGAACATGGAATGCTTAACTTTTCTCCTATAATGATTTTCCAGATGCTGGACCAATTTGAGAAGTCGAGAAATAAATGTTTCATCTCGCCTCCCTCCGTCCCTAAATTTACTTCCATAATAAAGTGGCACGTGAATTAAGAAAGTGAGAATTGTGTGGTGGAGATCAGAATTGTGCAGATGAGAGAGAAACATTGTGAACCACAAATTCTTTACATAAAAGGGAAAGCGAAGTACTTTTTGGGACGGACGAAAAGGGAAAGTTAGAAGTATTTTCAGGGACGGAGGGAGTAGTTAATAGTGTTTCACTCATGAGTGATGGTTCCACGAAATCAATCTGCTTATGATTTCGTATGTGCGGAGGTGTATATAGATAGAGTTTAAGCTAATAAGATTTACTTCTCAAAGGTGTATATATCGCAGAGAAAAAAATCTAAAGGAATATGTAAGTGATGCGAATAAAAAATTCTTTATCAAAAAGAAAAGAGAAAATTATTTTGAAATAGATGACAAAGAAAAGTTGAAAGATAATTCGGGGACGGAGGGAGTAATGCAATTACAATCACTCCGTACAATTCTCTATCGTACTTTTACTGTTTTACTCACAAAAAGAACATTTGTGATATATATACATTGTGTAAACATTCAAGGATAGTAAATTATATAGTGAAATTTTATGTTTTATTATATTCTTTCAATAAATTTTTTCTCAATCTTGACCTTCCTAACTTGTCATTTCTGGCTTGGCCACACCAGTTACTCCACACTTGATGAATTGATGGATGCATTGTCATGTGTTTGTTAGAGTTCTTACCAAGTGATATATTCACCACTGACATTATCATCTCGTTTGTTTTCCAGCGTGTTGGGTGCGACATGCCGCAAAATGCAACGTTTTGCACTTTTATAGTTTAAAAAGATTAGCCTTTTGGGTACAAAGTTGTCATCCAACCAAAGGCCTATACACTAAAGTAGCTGCCCCCTCCTCTGGTCAAAACTTTGCAACAGTCAACAATTCACGTTTGCCAACGCACTAGTTTGACCATTAATATCTTTCATTCCTTATAAGTAAAAAAATTTAAAAAATTTATATTTTAAAAATTTCTAATGAGAAGAATTTAACAATATTTTTTTAAAATTTATTTTGTAATACATTAATTAATAAAGTATAGTCAAAGTAGAATATGTGAATAATACAAAAAGTCCAATGTTGTAATTAAAAGAGAACGGAGTTAGTAAATGATTTATAGCTCAAACTTTTGCAAAGCAATGTGTATCGATCGTGAAAGCTCCATGGTCAGTTCTCGCCTGGCTTATGAAAGACAATGATCACCTTTATTTAGTGGATCATTATTGTAGATGCACGGCGGATGTATGGTTCTGACTTCTAAGGAAATTCTACTTATTGGGCAGGGTGGTTGCCATGAGGCCCACTTGCACTCTTCAAT